GTGTTTAAGATCCTTTTTTTATTGGTCACATGAAATATTCTAATTTTGTGAAATACTGGATTTGGGTTTTTTTTTTTGTCTTTAATCCATAATCATCAAAATTGAAACAAATAAAGGCTTGAAATATTTCACTTTGTGTGTAGTGAACTAATATAACATACAAGTTTCACTTTTTGAAACAAATTATTGAAATAAATGGACTTTTCCTCGATATTCTAATTTTTTGGCACATACCTGTAAGCCCTTTTCGATATGAAAGCAGTTTATCCCACACATCGGGCAGTGAAGACACCGTAAACAATAGCAGATAAAAGTGCCAGGGTGCAGTATGGGTGCAGTATGACTTCCCTCTACATGCATTAATTGTCACCTCACTCAGTGCTCAATTAGCAGCAACCTGAAAGCAGCAGTTGGTTCTGTTTGCACAACATCAGAGGAGCTCTGTCTCAAGCCTCTGGTATTCTGAGCAGAGTCCATCACTTTATGTATATTAAGCACAAGGCTGCTGAGTGAATGCTACCTTTAAAGCGCTAACACCACCAGCACTGGCCGCACTGGTCACAATGGAAAGCAGCAGCTGCCAGGCACGACCTCTGCCAGTGAGCTGCTTTTCATACCGTCACGCTGTTTACAGAGCAAAGGAATGAGGCGCCGATACATCGCTGATGCCTTTTAGATTGGTTATTTTTTGTCTGCAGTTCTAAACGCATCCTCTCATGAGTGTTCTTCAAAGTCATATATTGCTAATCTTAAAATAAACACCAGATTTTTTGTTTGGTTTTCTCACCACCTACCTAGAGGTGATTTGAACAGGCCCATTTCTGTACTCAGCCTCTGTGTCACACATCTCCCTCTGTTTGCATACAAAACACATGTTCTGAATGGACATGTGCAAACACTATTAGCCTTGTGTACACACGCACACTGTTGTGAAAACCTTATAACTTGCACATTATTTCCAGAAACAAATAGCAGCCTTATTTGCATATTATCCCTGATGATCTAACACCTTGTCATAAACAGTCTTTTGTCACAGTTTAAAGTCAATGTCACCCAAACTGTGGTTACAGGGTTTTCACACACGATGAGATGTACACTCGTGTCACAAACTGATCATAGCAGCAGTTTGTCATCAGCAGTAACAGCGTGCTGTGGATTAAAAAGTAATGGTCACCTTCACCCCCCACCCCCAGCTCCTCCTCACACAGGCTCATTCTGTTCTGGCCTCTTCAGTGCTTCTGCCCTTGGGGTGTCCTGTAGCGCCCCCAACCTGCGGGACTACGTCCGCACGCACCACCACCACCGAAAACCACCTCTGTCCCCCGGCAGTCTGCCGTGCAAGAGTGGCATGTTCGGTATGTCCACGCCGCTGTCTCTTCCTCCACGAGGTGGTTTTTTATGTTTGAACCTCTGTCTTGTTTGAACAGGACTTGGGCTGTTCCTGGCTTTAAAATATTTTTGCTTCTACTTTTTACTCCTTAAGCTTCAGATACTTTGATTCTATTTTTTTGATGGGATTCGCTATTGTCACTTTTTTGGGTGGGGGATAGAAGCTCCATTCTTTCTCTCACTCCTTTTCCCAAAACAAATGAGCCCTTTCAATCTGTTGTGTCATTTCTTGAGTGATTCACTTCAGTGTGCATGGTAATGGAACTGATCTGACAGCAGAGAGATTGACTGTGCGGCTGAGCATGCAACCTCACTTTGAACCATGTGATGTTAATGATGATCAATGTTGTGCATGACCACTCACTGATCACACGGCTGTCTGCTTGGGTCCAGGTGTCTCGAAATGTTCTCTCTCTGTGCATGTCGTTGTGTGGCACGTAGATCCTCTCTCTGTGAATTTCATTTCATAATCCACAGTAAAGTAGATTTTGTGTTTGGAGGCCAGAAGTCTGGCTTTTTTCATTAATCACAGTTGACAGTAATCCTGATATTAACAAATTCAGCCTGTTATTTGGAACAGATTTATTTTCAAGACACAATAATCCACCTTTAATTAATCCCAATCTCAATTTTCCCTTTGTTTTAAATTGTTAATAGTGACTGTTTTCATAGTCACTGTGGGTCATTAAATTATCCCAAACATCTGTATTGGATATCATTCTCACTGCTGCAGCTGTTTAGTTACTCAAGTGTGTTTATTTGCCTGTGGTTTTAAAAGATGAATGTTACATCCTCTGGTTAAGTCACTGGCAGATAATTTCACAAGCAAATTGTCTGTATGCATATGAGTCTTCATGCTGGCAAAACTGCAGGGAAACTTGACCCTCTGTGCAGGTTTTAAACGTAGGAAACTGATCTGAGTTTGCCCACTGGGTGTCACTCTGACTGCAAGGCTGCCAGGAGCAAACAGATGCTTCCCTTGTTCAGTTCTCTGAGATCAGTTTTGTGCTGCTCCTTGAGAGACAGGTGAGGGTTTGGACTGACGTCAGTGATGTTCACTTAAGGGGAAAGAGGGCTGCATCAGGTTAATATTATTCTATTGTCACTGTAAATGTGAAAGGACGTTCAGTGCAGGTTTGAATTCAGATCTGGGAATGAGTTGGTACTTCCCAAACTTTATGTACCCCAAGACCTTGTCAGGGGAGTTCAAGTAATAGTTTTCTTCAGATTAAGAGTCAGCATCATTCTTTCTGCATGTTTATTATTCAGCCAAAACAGCCATCATTTCCTCCATCCACTCCACAACCTTTTAGTTCATTGTCTCTAATAGCCCATCTCCTCTTTCCTTATTCAGCGCTGACTCTCATTTCCAGACATCGATGAATCGACAGGCCAGCTCTCTCATTCTGTTTTTCTTTGCTCTGCATTTTCTCATGTCAAAACACATACAGAAACAAACAGGCAGACAAAGGCACCAGCAGTTCCAGTAATACCAGTTACCTTTCTTATCTCCTCAGAGCTGTTCGCTATGCCGGCAGTAAAGAGGTTTTCTGTGTCGTTTGCCAGGCATCCGACTAATGGTATGTCTGCTTTTATTGAAGTTCATCTCAACCCTGTTCCAGATTACCTTGTTTTCTTGCATGACCTTTTTGTGAGAAAACATTTCCTGTATTTTCTGTTTTTGGGAGTTAGATGTTTGGCTGCGTTAATTACCTGAGATTAAACATTTTTCTCAAGAGTTTGTTTTTCACTGCACACCCTCTGCACCCTGTGTTTTTGATCATCACATATAATACCACCTGCTCTGCCTGCATCTTTTTAATTCCTCTTTCTGATCCTGCTGTTTTAGTACAGGATGGATATATGGAATATATCTCCTGCCTTAGAGCCTTCCTTTGGTGTGTGTCTCTCCCTTTAGATATATTTCCATGTGTAGATAATCATCTGTGCGCACATAGCATATCACATCTGGTTATTTTAAATTATTTCTTATAGTAATTACATAGGTTGGGCTGTAAAGGGCAACCTAAAACCAGCCATTACTAGATGAAAGTTTCCAACCAGTAAAGGCTCAGTCGACACCCAGTATGAATGTGGTGAGGAGCGCACTTTGTTGCACCTGTAGCCAAACCCAGCAGTGATGTCATGGCGCACTGACCACACCCTGGCATACACTTCTACATCAGTGGTGTAGGGCGAGACATTAAACCAGGGGAGATCAGCAAAAGCAACATTTCTGGGGGTTTAAAAAGCTTTTTGAACGGCACCCGACTCATAGGAATCTGTATTTAGTCTTTGAGTTTAGCCTTTCATTTTTTTTAAAACTGATTTTTGTTAAGTTTTAATGGAACACAATTAAATCGCAATTTAATTATTTATCAGCCTAGTCTCATTTTAACAGAGGGTCCTTGTTGCTAATTTACACACTTTTTTTTAATTGTCTGGTTGCAGCTTCTCCAGTGTGCAGGGTTGCTGCTTCCCTCTGTTTTGTCAATGTAAACATAATATCTTTGTGGCAAAATGTCACCTTTCTTTTGAAAATCACTGTTGGGGATTTATTGAGATTTACACTCAGTTCTTGCTTTTTGAAAAGATTTAATGTCATTGCTAAAGCTGCAGTGTTATGAAATTAACTACTTGATGTGTTTTGAGGCAGTTTTGTACCACCACTCGGGGCCAAAGTAGGATAAATGCTCACCACACACACACACACCTGAATGCGAGTCCTGGTAGCACACTGGATGTGACTGAATGTGTTGGGTCTTAGACCTGTAATTCTGAAGTAGCCCAGCATATGTTGGCAGTCTGATTAGTGTTGGCTGTACTTTAGCAGGATAAATGACATGTTGTCTGAGCACCAGGATCATCTGACGCGTTGGCTTCGAGTGATAAGCTGAGGCAGTATAATTCAGAAATCTGATAGGAACCTGTTGACAAGTGTTTGGGCAAACCAGTGGAAGACACAGCAGCGAGTGTTTCGGTCCACTGTAAAGTGTGAGGTTTCACTGTTTGTTCTAAAAACAAACACGTATAATGTCATAATATGATGGTGTGGGTATGTGTGGTTGTCCGTCTATAAGTGTCAGCCCTGTGATAGACTGGTGACCTGTCCAGGGTGAACCCTGCCTCTCGCCCAATGTCAGCTGGGATTGGCTCCAGCACCCCCGTGACCCTCGTTAGGATAAGCGGTATAGATAATGGATGGATGGATAATATGATATGATGACCCTCTGGTTCATATCTAATGTGAAAAAGTTTTGTCTGTAATCTCTGATTTCACCTGTGATGTACATTGACTGCTGTTGTGTCCTGTTGTCTTTATTTGACCTCGGCTCATTTTTATATTTAGCTTGCTTTGAAATGAAAAGGTGGGATTATGTGAGTTTGTGTATGGTTGCAGCAGTAATCATTCATAATTTAATGTCGGAGATTAAAACTGCAGTCTGTTCTCCTTTTTCCCCGCTTACTATGAACATCTTTACAAATCCTGCTGCCTGAAGCCTCACTGCTCTTTTGTCCCTGTGGCTATTCATGGCACAGCTCCTGTCATTTGTCCTGCTCCGCTGGCCTTTATCTGTCACTTCCTCTCTTCCTGCTCTGCCTCTTGTCCCTCAGAGCCCTCAGATGAGCTTCATGTAGTCCAGCAGTTGGGGAAGCTTTCCACTGAGCTGACTTTGCTGGGGTTTGCCCCTCTGGCTATGGACGGTGCCATGGCCCACCACCTGCACCACTGCCCCTACCACCTCCGCCTCCTGGAGACCTGGCTGGTGTCTCGTCAGGAGCTCCCAGAATCCCTCCACAGTCGGCCTCCATGCTCCCTGCTCAGTTTGTCTTGCCTCCTGTAGCCCTGGACAGCCATGTGGAGCCAGTGGGATGCTGCCATTGCCATCGGAGCTTTGCATCGTTGGAGTTTTTTACTTTCGCTTTTTTCCTCCAACCTGGTTTTCTGCTGCTGCATTCATGCTTCTTTTCCTCATTTCTGCCTAGTAATTACATCTGCAGCCCTGCTCCATTTGTGTTTGTTTTCTGTTGCTTTGCATGTCAGCCAGAGCAGAGAACAAGGGATAAATAAGAAAACAAAAAGACCTCTACCGTATTGTTTGGAAATGTGAACAAGCTGTTCTCCAACGTGCACACAGACAGACCTGATCCATGATATTGCTCTGTGTTCCATAGTTACCTGCAGGCTAATGGCTTTGGCTGTGATAAAGTGCTCTGTAAATAAAGTTGAGTTGAGTTCATATAAGCTTGATGTCGAAACCTTTAGACCATTTAAGAAGAGATGCTGTAATTAAATGAGCGGCAGTAAAACTCTGAAAAACATTAGGAGAAATGGCGTTCTTTTGAGAATATTACAGTGTCATCACTACACCCAGGTGTGATAGTTTCACCTGCTGCGTTCAGTGGACCAGAAGCTTTACAGGACATTTAAGTCTCAGGCTTCATGAGTTTGGCTCTATTGCACTTTATTTTTTCTCAATTTTAATGATACACCAACTTTTCCGCCTCGACTAAGCATCACATTTGTTTTTTACATTATTTAAACCTTTCCAGTGTTTACACCCAGGTTTTGTTTACAACCAAACTTAAAATATGAATTAAAGCAGGTTGAGGGGAACACTTCACTTGTATGAAGTGAAATGCAACCTTGACAGGAACTTATGTAACTGTGGCTTTAAGTCCTACTCTAGCTGTATGTGCCCCTTGTCCTCCTTTGCACAAGATTAGACACCTAGTGGGTCATTTTTCAGACCTTAAAGGCTTTATAATAGAAATGTTAATCGATTTTTGCCTTTTTTTTTTTTTTTTTTTTAACTGTTGGAATGCGCACAAGGACTAATTGCTGTACGTGCATGCTGGGTGAACACATGATGGTGAGTGAAACATACTGTTTGTCTAACTGCATTGTGTACATGCTCCTTTCAGCTGGACAGGCAATGAGCTCTGTCTGTAGACTAGATTCAGGTGTCGATGACATCAGTTTGGCATCGGCAGCTCAGGACCAGGCTCCGGTGAGTCTCCCCCGGCGCTCGCTCAGTGTGCTTCTTGGCCAGGTGGCAGATATCTGATTGTTGAAAGATTTGGGTTGTCATCTCATTTCCCTCATTTTAATTGGCTAATTAAGCGGTGGCCTGTTAATAAACTGCTGATTTTGTAAAGTGTTTCTGGAGCACGTCTTGGCACGTTGTGTCTGGAGCTGTGCAATTATTCTTTGCAGTCAGCAGAGACAACTGTGTCAAGATACAGATTCAGAATGGAGAAAAGTGAGATTTTTTGGCTTTGACACAAACTTTTTAGTTTGTTTTTACTGTTTTAAGTATTATTGTGCTTCCCTTCCCCCCCGTCCCCCTGTCTTTATGTTCGACTGTGCTGGTAAATGGTTGAGTGAATGGTGCAGTGTAGCATTAGGATGTTCTGCTCCCACTGCATCTGGTGTGTGTGAGCTGAATTCGATATCCACATGGAAGGGCTGCAGCAAAGACAGAGAGGAGGGAAAGGTGATAAATGCTATCTTATTTTATACAACTGCTTTTTTGGGCAGCGTACAGAAAAGACAGAATTTACTAGTTGGAAGTGAGGATAAATGCCATGTATTGAAGTTAAAGAATGTGATAAACATCTTTGTCTACTGAGTCATCAAAAACAATTCCTCATGAAGCTTTGTAATATCAGTTTAAGACAAAGCAAGTGTTCTATTTCCTCTGTCCTCTAAGCTTTGGCCAAAATACAGTGGACAGTGATCTTGGCTTGGTTTTTGAATAAAGCTGCTTTGGCCAACATCCACTAAGGAAATGATTTGACAGCTCCCTGAACTGAAGTCACCACAGGTCGATAGCCCCCTGGTGGCTTGTTGCAGTATAGATCATAAACCCCGCCCTAGTCATGTTAACAGGTGGGACGTGAACCAAACTAAAAAGTTTAAGTAGAAATCAGAAACTTTTCCTCAAGGTGATTTCTGTCATTGTAGGTAGATATTAACATGTTGATTTAAGCACAAGTGTTTTATTTTTAAAAAGTTATTAGGTGATGTAAAAAGTCTATTTCAGATGATTGACCGCTTGAAATGATTTGTGTTGCATACTGAACATGAATGAGCCCATGAGGAACATCCATACATCAAACGGGGAAATTCACTTCATGGCATCTACTGGTTCCTGTCCGTTAAATGCCGACTGCTGTTTGTTCCGCTTCTGTTGTCACAATAGATGAGTTGTTTTGTGGAATGACATCAGGCAACTGGTTGTTAGTCCTGTAGAAACCCAAGGCTTGACCAGCATGCTCTCTGGGGAGATGGATGACATGGAAGTGCTGCTTTATCCTCCATCCATTCCCTTGTTTTGTCTTTGCATCTTTTCATTATCATGTTCTTTGTCAGGCTGCACTGAATGACGTGTGTCTGCTCTAAGTTTTTGTGTTAAAGTCATCTTGTTGTGACACAGTTCTATTTGTGTTTGTCAGCACCTTGTACTATTTTCAGGTATTTTATGAAAGAATGAATAAATATATCCACATGTATGTAAATTTGTCAGCTTGGTAAATTATCAAAATAAGAAAAACACTGCAGTGTAATTGATCCTTAAGGAGAAATCATTTTGATCATCATCTGCTACTTACGTGCTGATAAACAGCTCCATAGGGTTTGTTTTTTGAGTAAATTTACAACCAAACATAAACAATAATGACATATTACCATCACTTCTCACACATCTCAAGTCTCCAGACTATAAAAGTACAACCACTGTACAGATAAATGCAGCAAACTTTCCCACGGCCTTACTAACCAGGGAATTTAGCACTAGCCATATATTTGCCGATGTTTGTTTTGGCTGGTAAATGTGTCTATTATATCTGCCAATAACTGTAGATGTTACAGTGGCCTAAACGTCTGTGTGGCTGGTTCACACGTACAAACAGGGACCTACTTGTGGCTTTGAGAGAACGAGGGGACACGTGGTGAACAGCGAACATGCACAGAGAGCAGTAGTGTTATCACTTCTCACTTCCTGTCTGAAGGAGGCGTGGTTCAGTCGGCCTCATGTCTGTCTGTCTGTCCTGTCTGCAGGTTTTGAAGGCTGCTCCATGGTGCCCTCTATCTGCCCACTGGAGACACTGCACAACTCGCTTTCACTGAAGCAGGTGGACGAGTTTCTCAACAGGGTGTGTGAAATCAGTAGCGAGGCCCAGGCCAAAACCATGAAAGGTACAATAGGTCTCCGCTGTGATGCAGCCTATAGCTAGCACATACTTAATTCTTCTGCTTTTTGCCATCAGGTCATCCCTGATTCCAGTGTTTGCAACCAAATGTGATGTTTGAGTTTTACTTGTGTGATGTTCGCCTGATGTGAAAGTTTAACTCAGCATTATTATTTAGTTTAAAATTCAGTGTGATGTAGTATAGCCAACTCAGAAAATCTTTGTCAGTTATAGCAGATTACACCCTGGCTCTGATAAGAAGAGCCATGTGACATTTTTTTCTGTCTTTGCACCAGCGTTCTTCGGCTCTCAGAGCCAGACATGTCTCTACAGCCCTCAGCAGCCTCTGTCCTCCTCTGGATCTGAAGCGTCTCTTCGGCCGCCCGGCCAGCCCCTATGGCGTGAGTATTTTAATGATTTTATATCGTGCACTGACCTGTTTTAATCTTCTAATAAATGTCCACATAATAGAGTTGCCAAGAGATTTTATGTTGAAATCCAGTTTTACGGGTAGAGTTATTGATTTTTAGCGTTTATTTCTGTACCAGCTGATAAAATCTAAATGGACTGCTCAATATTGATTCTAACTGGCCAAAATAAGTCATAAAATATTCATAGTCTGCAGCCACTAAGCATCAACTTCAGATTCTGTCTTGAGCAAAGCAGCCAATCTGCTCTTCCAGCACATGTGCTCTGTCGCTGCACCGGTCATCTCCCCGTGAGCGGAAATGAGTAACTGTATGAATGAAGAGCTGGAAAAGACTGTGCATGCTCAGCAAAAAGATAGAAAGCCCTTGTTCACCTCCCCCACATTTCAGCACGACCTTCATGTTGAAGGAAGCAGGTGTGACCTGATAGGTATTCAATTATCTCTCGTGACCTAGAGGTTAGAGACACTAACTGAATCATAACAGGTCACATATTCAGACATCAGCTGAAAGGCACATTGAGCTCAAACTAAGAAAAACTGTCATTATTTATTATTTGTTGAGTGAACATATTGATTTTTTTTTTTTTTTTTGTGGACAAAAGGGATTTGCTCACAGTGTGCACTGCAGAGTGACAACTGCAAGATAAATTACAAAAGATGATGGCTGTGATAGTGATCGCAGAACAATACAGTTTACACCAACAAGACTCCGCCTGTCATCAGTATTCAGTATCATATTTAATGGTCCAAAAGGCTGTAAAAATGTGAAACCAAAGCAGTCCGCACATCATTCAGTGATACTGCACAGTCGTTTTCTTCTTTAATCTTACGGAGCGTGAGAAAATAATGTAAAATGATCCTGTTCATTTCCCAGGTGTCTTCCAAATGCTTGTGGAGGAAAGCAGATCTCATTTGAGAAGCAGTAAAAATCTGGTGTTTTTGTTTAATAAGTGACTGAGATTGTTTTATCGGTCAGGCTCGGCTTGATTGATGAATTGTTTCTGAAAATTGTTGAACATTCATGTTCTGTCAGTCAACTAATAGATGCTCAATTAATTGTTTCAGCACCACTCTGAACACCAACCTGAGCAGCCAGTTTAAGTTTCTCTGGGTAAGAGCATCATCTGAAATGTCTAAGACAATGGGAGGTGGGATTTCCAGGGCTAGTCTGCATCCTAATGCAGGCAGCTGTCTTTTAAAGCACCTGTCAGATGAGCTAAATAACAGCAGAATGTAGCTGTCAGTTATGAAACGTCTGTGTAATAGGAGACAGAGCTTCACAGCCTCTTAAACCTGGTCCCTCTTTTTTTGTCACCATTGCCTTCTTTTTCCTCTCCTCCTCCTTTCTTCCCTGGGTGGTGAGGTGGCTCGTTTTTTCTCACGCTTGCGTTCTTTTACCCATTTCGTTCACCGTTGGTGTACTTGATTTACACTGGGCTCCCTTTTGGTGGCTTTTTGATCACTCCGTCTTTCTCAGTCCCGTCGGTACCTGCTCCAGATCTGGCTCATTCGGCCTTATTTGTCATATGATGTACATGAATAGACACTTGTTCTGCTGGTGGTGTGACATTGTTTGTTCTCCAGTTTGCTGTAGTTACAGGGCAGATGCAGCGCGATGCCACTCAGTTAAGACCCAGACAGTCAATTTTTGTGTCCAAATGACTGAAACTTTTACTTTGTATTGGTTTAAAATAACCTAAAATATTCCTGATGTTCTTGACTAATAAATGGAGAGAAAACCTCATTTTAAAATGTGCTGTAAGTGATTTTAGTCGTAGCTTTGAAGACTACATTCTAGTTAGAATATCAACACGCACTGATTTTCAAGTAGCTTAATTTGAGGCAACAAAAAAATTTGCTTTCATAAAATTCTCCATAGCAACATAAGATGGAGTGGCGAGGGGATGACGCTGATGCTTTCCTGTGTTGTACCAGATCACTCTCGCTCAGTGTTCACTTTTTGTTTGTTCACATGACGCACATACTGCACAGTAACACAACAAACACCATGGCTCTCTGAATGAAATCAGGACTGCAAGTGATGACATTAATACTTGAAGCAGGGATTTGAGAATTAATTTCAGAAGTGTTTGTACAGTGTGTGCAGTCTGTGCAGAGATCA